GAAAGCGAAAACATGCTGGAGAAGATGGGCTCGGCCAAAGTGAATGCAGACCGGGAAGAGGGCCTTAGAGTCAAAGGGAACTGTGAGCTCTGAGTCACTGTAGGGCATTCCTACCTAACCACTCCAGCCACCTGTCAGCATCTAGGGGGGAAAATGCTGTGTGTGAAGCTAAAGGAGCTGAACTGCTGGGAGCATAAGCAACCATGCTGCAGGCCCCTGGACCAGCAGAGCACAAAAGAACAAGGTCATTTTCTTGCTTCTTAGTGGAAGAGCTTTGAGAGCAGATATTGCAGGGGAGGGTAGTGGTGCTGAATAATCCCCAGCCCAGAGATGGAACTGAGACCCTGAGAGGCAGAGCAGAAATGCAAAGCAACCACCCAAGGGCACAAACAATAATGACCCTTCTAAGTGAGCTTAGAAGTGACCAACCGTAGCTGCCAAGTAGCTGGCACCCAGCCAGAGCTCCTCCGGAGGAGATGGCTGACAAAGAGAGGTCTGCGTGGAGTGGCCTGGGGCTGCCCAGGGCAGCTGCAGTGACCGTGGGAAGCAGGATCCAGACAGAGTCACTGCAGAGGCGCAGGAGGTGGCCCAGGCTGAGACACCCCCCTGGTTCTATCAGAAAACTAGAGATTCAGAAATATCCTGGGAAGGAAATGATTGATGTCCCACAGCTAGGTATACAAGGCCTAATGTACAAGGCCTTGTTTAACTGATAAGCTCCAGAGACATTTTCTATATTTGTATTTATAGATGCCATTACTGTTTAAAATCAATTTCAAGTTTTAAAAATTTTAGAAATCAAAAAAAAACTGCTAAAAAGAGTTTAATTTTTTAAATCAACCTAAAGTACATAAAGTTTCCAACATATGAAACATATTTATTTATTTTTTATTTTCTTATTGTTTATTTCAGCATAGTACAGGGGTACATAGGTTTAGGTCACATATATTGCCTTTCCTCCGCCCAAGTCAGAGCTCAAAGCATGTAATAAGATTTTCAACCTCATTGGGTGGGTGCACCGCACCCATTAGGTGTGAATATACCCATCCCCTCCTCCCCGCTCCCACCTGCCCGACACCCGATGATGAATATTACTACTATATGAAACATATTTACTTTTAAAAATTGCCAGTTAGACTTCCTTGTTTCCAAACAAATCACCTGTACTCATTATAGGACCACAGGTGAATCCCCCGACTCCCAGGAATAAATTCTGCCTCCATTTAGCATCCCAAGGTATTGTCCCAGCTTCAGGCGCTCAGCCCACATAAAGATGGGTCCCCAGTGGTTCTGTACGAGGCCTGCAGCCAGGGAAAGTGAGGTACCAGAAGTGGCCATTTGGTGACCAAATTTCCAGTGTGGGTCCCATTAGGGATGTACCTTGGAACTAAAACAGTCAGTGAGCTTCTTCCAGTCCCAAATCGAATGAACCCGCCACCTCCAGGCTACCCAAGCTGTTAATGCACAGTGACAGCTGAATTTAACTGCTTTTTACTCCAGCTCAGCGCCAAGGCCTGAGTAGAAATAATCCTTTTATCTCCCAATAAAGGAGAATTACTGGCATTCTGCAGCTCAGCTCTCTTTGAAGAGCCATCTTTAGAAGCCGGAGGCTTTGCATTTCCTACAGTGGTCAGATTAAAGACACTTTTCACTGATCTCAGGGCAGGTAGTTGATTATATTGTCACCCAGTTGCCCTGTGGAAAGGTACTGCGAGTTTCTGTTTTAAACAGATTTCAAAGCACAAATGTCATTCTCAAAATCTTTCTGAAAGACCAACTGAGTGTTTAGAGCCATACTGTTTAGAGGCCAGCTGTTACCTAGGGCCAGCCTGCAGGGTTGCTTGGAAACAATGTAATTTAGTCAGCTGTCTTCTTTCCTTGCCCCCCACAGGTAGAATCCCACCCTCATCATTCTCTGCTGCATGTAATTCTCATACAGGTAACATCTTTGTGTAATACACGATCTAATTTAGTCAGACCTTCTATTCGCTTTTATAAAGACAGTTCATCTTCCACCTGAAATACCATTAAAACTTCATTCACCCCAACTGATAAAGCAACCAACACCCCCAGCATGTGACGTGGTACTTTGAATACTTTGTTATTCCTCATAGTAACTTCATGAGTGTGGTTTTCTACACCTCATTTTTTAAATGGGAAAACTGAAGCTGGGAAGTTTGGTTAGTTTGCCTAGCTGGAGGATGGATTCCAGCATGACCCCAAAGCCTGTGTCCTTCCCAAGATACCATCCTGAAAATCAGGGTTTCGCCCCCTTGGCATGATTGGCATTTTGGACTGGAATATTTGTTGTCATAGGGGGCTGTCCTATTCATTGAAGGATGTTTGGCAGCATTCCTGGCCTCTGTCCACTAAATGCCAGTAGGGCGTATGCACGTGCGCGCGCGCGCACACACACACACACACACACACACACATACATGCACACACACAATTGTGACAACCAAAATTGTGTCCAAGCCAGGTGTGATGGCTCACACCCATAATCCCAGAGCCTTGGGAGGCTGAGGCAGGAGGATGGCTTGAGTCCAGTTCAAGGCTCCAGTGAGTTATGATCACACCACTGCACTCTAGCTTGGATGGCACCCTACTTCTAAAAAACACAAAATAAAAAATGTGTCCAGACATTGCCAAAAGTCCCCTGGAAAGCAGTTACCCCCAGCTGAGAACCACTGCTGCAAATACTTCTGAAGCATTGTCTTCCTTACAGTGCTAGGTTTTGTGGACCTATGAAATGCACAGAATAATTTGAAGACCATGAGAGTACTCAAGAGTGGACTTATGGGTACACATTAAGAAATATGAGTTAATTATAATTAGTATTTTAGTTATTTGTGCCCAAAGAGCCCCTATTCTTGTTATACCTGATAATAGCTTGTAAATATTCACACTACAAAAACACTCCAAAGCTCCCATGGCCTCCTGCTGCTTCAAAAATTTGGTCCAAACACCTCCCAAAGACAGTCAAGCTGTCTGCAGTCTGCCCTCAGTTCTCCTGTCCACCCTCAAATCCCACGCGCTTGCAGGCTACAGCCAAGCAAGATGACTCACTGTAGTTCAAACTCATCCTACATTTTCTTTTTCCATGTCTGGCTGAGGAGACTCCCTCTGCTTCCCACATCTCCTAGTCCCATGCCTGCACCCTGCCTTCGCCTTGGGCCCCTTCCCATGCCATTCCAGCTTTCCCGATGCTCTCTGTGCCTCCCACACCGCCTCCCGGCACAGCGATGGAAAAATGGGTCTCTCCTCTGCCTACAGTCAGTTTGCATTTGTCTTAGTCCATTTTCTGTCATTATAACAGAATAGCACAGACTGGGTAATTTATTTAAAAAAAAAAAGGGGATTTATTTGACTCATGGTTCTGGAGGTTGGGAAATCTAAGAGCATGGCCCACCTCAGCGGGGGAGGGTCATCCCAGGCAGAAGGTCAAAGGCAAAAGTGGACATATGAGACAGAGAGACAGTCAGACCAAACTCACCCTTTGTACCAGAATCCCACTCCCGCAATAGCAGCATTAATCCACTCATGAAGGCAGAGCCCTCATGGCCTGGTCACCTCTTAAAGGCCCCACCTCCCAAGACTGTTGCAATGACAATTAAATTGCAACACAAGTTTTGGCAGGGATATTCAGACCATGGCAGCATCTCTCTCGTCTCCCCCAGCCTTCAAAGACTGTGCGATGGATTAACAGTTCTTGGAGAACAAGAACTCTATTCTAGCCCTTCTATTCAGTCCTTATCTTTAGCAGGTGTGCTTTGCTTGTTGGATTGAGCGGATTGGATTGGGGATGGGATTGAAAGAACATGGCAAAGGTAAACTTGTGACCCAGTTTCTATGGGGATTAAAATAAATTTCATATATGAGAGCTGAACGGTGTCATGAGGACAATTGAGCACAGCACTCCCTAGTGTGCAACCTCCCTGCCCTGTGTGATTTAGACGCACCGGGTGGCCACCGGCCTTGGCCATCACTAGGGCTGTGCCCACAGAGCCCCACACAACAGCTCCCAGCTGAGGGGCACTTGGGGCTGGCATCCTTCCCTGCCTTCCTCACTGAGTGTGCTGTGGGCAGGTCTGCGTTCATCCAGAGGAAAGGCCCCTTTTCCTCATTTTCACAAAGGTGCCATGTGGGCTGGCAGAAGCCCTGACAATAAAACTCTCCCACAGAGGTAAGGGATACTGCATCCAATATTTCGTCCCCAAATTTGCCATTTATCCATTCCTTCTACTAAGATCTATTCCACTGGGTTCTGCCCATCCTAACCAACCTTTGTTTTACCACTACTTCTTGACTAGTCAGAGGTTGGTATTGATCGATTCATTCAACAAATATGCATTAATCACTCAATACGTTTATAGACTACGGAAGTAGAGAAAACAGAGCCCTTGTCCTCATCGAGCTTATATTCTAGGGGATTCTTACATTAACTTCTCAAGTGTTTTACAATCAGACAACAACCAACATATGATTCAACTTAAACTTCCAGGCTCCTATTTGATAGCTCTGGCTTGAGCTTTTCTTAAGAGTGAACTTCTTGAGCTAGGTGAATGAGTTGGTCTGGGGCAACAATTCTAGGAAAATGACATAGCCCAGGTTACTAGCGTGACCACATAGTATCTCAGTATAGCAGGGGTTCAGGAAATAGCCCTTCACAGGGAAGGCCTCACCCCCTTGTAGTCTCGTGATCTAATTCCAGCTGCAGCTGGTTCAGGCCATCCGACCAAGTCTCTTGAGAGGGTCTGGGTGTTCCACAGCATTTGCATATGATATTAAGCTGCAAACTGAGCATTTTTCAGCAACCAACCCAGGGCAGTCTTTACTCTGACAATTTCTGAAGAAGGCCTTCTAGGCTTAGGTGAATAGGATATAAGCAGTCCTATTTGTATGCAAATTGTGCGCCTAACCTTTGATGTTTCCATTGGCAGAAACAAAATGTTGCATCTTGAGCACTTCATTTTACCATTCCCCTGTTGTGTTGACAGGTGGGAAACTGTGCACCAGCTACAACCGAGGGCTCATCTCGAAGGCAAAAATCAAGGCCATCAAGTATAGCATCGTCATCATTCTTGGTAAGCAGCATCCCTCCTTGTGTCGTGGAACTGTTTGACCATTCCAAAAGCAAACTTGCACCTGGGACTTGGTGGCAGAAAGCCCACGCAAGAAAGGACTTTTTCTACGGGCACTTCTGCTTTTGTCTGACTGTCAAAGAATGTGTGGAACCCGTCAGTCCCTCTCTGGCTCCTTCAAGAGTTAATAATTGGTTCCTAATGCCTCTCTTTATGAATACAGTCGTCACCAAGGCCATCTATAGGTTGGATAATTTGGAGAAAATCTGATTAGGACCTAACTGTCCGAGGCAGATGGTCACATCACCTGCTCTGTCACTTCCTTTAAGACACACTCTCCTCGGGGCCAAAGTTCATGAGTAAAGGGAAGATAAACGTGGCTTTCCATTTCTTCTGGATATTTAATTTCAGGGTCACTACAGATCCCTCCCTTATGGCCACCTTATCTGCCCTTCCACCCTCCTGTCTTCAGCCCTTTCCACTTCCTTTCTTTCTACTCTTAAAACCATAAAGTCACCTTGCAGTGTTTCCCATCTGAAATGCTCCGCTCACAGGTGCGTGTCTGGCTTACTTCCTAGCCTCATTTGTTCACCAACAATGCCACCTCCCTGAGGCCTCCTTGACAAGTCTTTTAAAAATAGCCCTTCTCTAGTTTCCACTTGGACTTATTTTTCTTCATGGGTCCTACTTCTACCCGACACTACAGGATATATATTGATTTTCTTATTGTCTGTCTTCCCTGCTGGAGTAATAAATCCACAAGGGCAATTGACTTTGGCTTTTGTGTTACTTACGTTATTATCACCAACTCCTAAAATTGGGTCCCACACATCCTGTTCAATTAATATTTATTGAATGAATGAGTGCGGATATACAAGTAGGAAAGGGATTGGTGCTGTTTTCTTCTGATTTAGCTCAAATGCCCCCCCGCCTTGCCCCTCTGACAGGTTTTGAAGCTCCGAGAAAGCATAGCTCTTCCATTAGCTGCATGTCAAACCACCAGAACGGTCCTTCTCACCTTTCTAAAACACAACTGCAAAATGCCAAACAGACCGCACGCAGCGTGGCTCAGCCAGCGGAACACACACACGCACAACAACGCTGCAGGCAGAACTAGGATAAAGCGCATACAACCCACCAAGGCTCAGAAACCTTTCTTAGAGGCTTCTGAAGCAGATCAAAGACTCCCTCGCTTCCCCACACGATCAGAATCGCTGGTGCACCTTCCCTGGAGGTTGAGTTGGGAAATGTGTGCTTACACGTGCGTCCCAGAGCCAGCATAGCCCTTTTCAATCAGAAGCCATTTTCCCAGACCCTGTGGGGTCCTTTCTGTCTGTAAGCAGGGGTGTCCACTGGACAGTCAGCAGGTGCTGACACCCCCATCAGACCAGAATGGCACTTCCTACAAAAATATGTTATAGTGCCCCTTTACCACCCTGAAACAAAAGATATACATAATATACTACTACCTACCCACCATAATTTTTAAAAAAAATGAATATATTGTCCCAAAAATAATATAAAGGAGGGATAGAAAAAAATCTATAATAAAGCACCACCAATTTTAATATGCAAATTCTTCAGCACAACTACACCAGAAGAATAATGAAGTAGTGAGAAGCTTACACCTAGACCTAGTATCAGCTACAAATGAAAACCAATACAGGTGTGTTTCATGGAGACATAAAAAATGTAAGCAGTATTGCTGTCAATGCCTTGATTTTCTGACCAAGTGGAAAAAAGTAAAGTTTCAAATTGGAGAAAGTAATCTTTGCTCTACTTATCAGGAAATTGCATTTCTGGGAAGTTCAGTATTTTTAAAAACATGTGTGTTCATTTATAAAACAGAATTAGGTTTCAGATGGGGTAATTATAAACAGCATTCTCCCCTACATGAATGTCCAGTTGGGCATTCAAAGGCTGTACAGGGCATGAGACACGTCATGGCTGGCTGGGCTGCCCATACCATGCAGGAGGTTGGGTGGGCATCCTCCTGACAACCAGGATCACCCCACACACACTCACAAGCACACAGGGCCATTTGCTCCTTCTGCCCCAAACCACTCTTCTGGGCCAATGTTGGACTTAACCCCCCAGAGTCCAGCTTGCTCAGTTGTCTCTGTGTTTGACTTGCTCCCCTTTAATACATTGCCAAGGTCTGGGGTGGGATGGGGGACCATAAGTCAGGCAGTTTCTCCTTCTAAAGCTCCCCAACAAGTCACAGAATCCCCACTGAATAGTGACAGAGGGAAGTTTGCCCCTGCATGCAGATGGCCAAGGAACCAGACTTCTGCTCTAAGAAAAAATCCCATGGCTGTGAAAGGGGGAGCCAGGGGGTGCAGAGATTACGGCAAGAAAGTAGGAGACACATGTGTGTGTCCAGTCAATCCTAGAGTGTGTATTAGTCTGGTATTTCCAGAGAAATCAGGAGGTGGGATGGGGCGGAGGGGAAACAGAAATACTAAAAAAAAATTGGCTCATATGATTATGGAGGGAGGAGTCCCAAGATCTGCAGTTGGCAAGCTGTAAACCCCAGAGAACCAATGGTATAAGTTTTAGTCCAAGTCCAGAGGCCTAACAACCAGGAGAGGTGGTAGTGTAAATTCCAGTTTGACCCCAAGTGTAAAGACAGGAGAAGACCAATGTCCCAGCTCTGAGACAGGCAAGCAGGGAGAGTGAATCTCCTCTCACTTAGCTTTTTTGTTCTGTTCTATTCTTTAACAGATTGGATGAGCCACACACACACACACACTGGGAGGGAAATCTGCTTTTCTTGGTCTACTGATTCAAATGTTAATCTTATTCAGAAGCACCCTCATACACATCCAGAATAATGTTTGACCAAAATCTGGGCAACCCATGGCCCAGTCAAGTTGACACGTAAAATTAACCATCACACTCTGTATCCCCGCTTTCTACCCATTTCCCCCATTTCCTTGAGGATTGGGAGCCAAGTAGAATTGGGGTCTCACACACATCAGTGGATTTGGAGAGGAGCATTGGGTGGGTGTTACATGGAGAGACTAACTTAGAAATGGGACAGAAATTGAGAACATCGTGATGGAGCTGGGCTGTGCTGTGAAAACATGGGGATCGCCCTTTCTCCTGCCATACCCCCAGAGAAAGAGTCACCATCTGGCCAAAATGCTTCTTGTTCTTTTTCCAGAGAGTCTCCCAAGGATTTGTCCTGTTTTTCTTTAGCCCTGTGTTGCATGAGAGGGTACAGCCATGTACAGCCATTCCCAGGTGCTCAATACGGAGTCCACAACAGTAGAAATTGGACCTCCCCTTGACAGATGGAGAAGCTGCAGAGTATTTACTCAGTTTGGGGAATATGTCTAAAGCTGTACGTGTGACTGTGTTGAAGTGGACAAGACATCAGTGCCAACACAGACCACTGTTCTAAGCGGCGTACCCAACCCCAGTATTTCTGAGAGATCCCAGGTGCCAAAGCACTTCTTAGCTGAAAGTCCAACCAGGGCTAACCAAGAGAGACTGTGGCCTCGGCTGCAGCCTGCGACGGTGCTAACTCGCTCTTCTCCCCCAGCCTTCATCTGCTGCTGGAGTCCGTACTTCCTCTTTGACATTTTGGACAATTTCAACCTCCTCCCAGACACCAAGGAGCGTTTCTATGCCTCTGTGATCATTCAGAACCTGCCAGCCTTGAATAGTGCCATCAACCCTCTCATCTACTGTGCCTTCAGCAGCTCCATCTGCTTCCCCTGGGGGTAAGGGAAGCTCTTGCATGGGTCAGACACGCTGATGGGGCAGTTGACTGCGCTGGGATTCCACCGTATGTGTTGCTCACGCCAAAACTCCCTGGCAGGTTATGGAATCCCTTTTTAGTATATGAGACGCTTGAGAGTCAGGACATTTCCACTAGTGTGACAAACTCAAACCCTGGCCCAGTCCACAGCTGATGCTATTTCTCCTACATCATATCATGACATATTTAGAAGACCTTTCTTTTCTTCAAAGCTCACCCACATGAATTGCTTCAATATAATCCTATGGTGACAACAGGACATGGAGCATTATTAACATTTTACAGGTAAACAAAGTAAGGCTTATGAGGTTAAGTGACATTATTGAGGTTATATGAATAATTAGTGGCAGAGATGAAATTAAATCCCTTTCACAACTACTCTAATTCTGTTGTCTTTTGGCTGTTTTTTTTTGCATGAGCTACAGAGCATAGGTAGAGAAATCCACAGGAAATAAAATAGTAGAATGATTTAAGGCTTGAGCTTAATGCTATTGGCTGAGGTTCAAATCCTGCAATTGCTTATTCCTAACTTGGAATAAGCAATTGACCTTGGACAAGTTATTTAACTTCTATAAACCTCAGTTTCCCTATCTGTAAAATGGGACTCGTAACAGTGTCTACCTCTTGGCCTGTGATGCCTCCTCTGTCCACTGGGCTCGGTGCTGACCAGTGGGAAGGAGGGCTGTGAGTAGTGGAGGAAGAAGATTGGGGGTGTCACATGTCAAATGCCTAACACAGTTGTCTGACCTTTAAGACATTCTCCATAACTATTATCTCCCAACACCTCTACCTCCTCTTCATCAGGTTTAATTATTTTCCCTCCCTGCTTTATTCCTACTTTCTCCAGGGAGCAAAGATCACAGGATTCCAGAGTGACATTCCGGGAGAGGATGGAGTGGCATGAGATGCAGATTCTGCCGAAACCAGAGTTCATCTAGACTTGGGGGCAGTGGCAGGGCTACGCTGAGCCCCATCAGCTCTCCTGGGTCCCCGTCACCAGCTTGGGCATGTGCATGAAACCTGAGCCAGCTCTCCACCCTGCTTTTCATCTCTTGGGGGATGTACCAGACAAACGTTCTAATGCATGTGTGTCACCTACATTGGCACGTATTGACCAACAGGAGCTCACCAATTATTCACGCCAACCAGCAAGGACACACCTTCCGTCTTAACCATTCCCATCCCTCCTTCCTGCTGGTCAGCACCTGAACCCGATGGACAGAGACATCACTGGCCCAGGGTCCTGGGCGGGGTGTACTGAGGAGACAGGCAAGCAGAGGGCACAATATTACAACTGAAGACGCAAATAAAGGACTTAACAAAACCTAGACATTTTTCTACAGTTTTGGATTGGAGGTGTGGTGGTTGTAGCCAAGAAGATGTTTGTCCCTGGAATGCCAACAAATTCGTTTCTAGGCATTGGCGCTCTGCACCTCCGCTGCGGATAGCCTTGGTTCGCAGATGGATGTGTCGGCAGCAGCCAAGCTCACACTCGCATTATATCCACAAATGATTTGTGGAAAGATCACAACTGCTGGCCCTTCAGGACGAGGTCAGGATGGAGGGACATTTTCTCGGATGAGAAAAAGATTGTGCTAAAAAGCCACAAGTTCCTGACCTGTCTCAGACAGTTACGACCCAGAACTCGTGTGTCTTTGACGCTCTCTGAAGGCTCCTCCCTCTGCGTTCAGCACTTGGGCCACTCTGGGCTCCAGTCCTCACACCTCAGGGACAATTCTTCCCCTCTTTTAATTCTCTGAACCATCTCCCTTTAGTCGAGAGCTGAATTCCTGTGGCTTTTCCAGGCTTGATGTTTCTGTAAGCTCTTTATCGTTTTTGAACGTCGCCTTTGTCTAACACCTCGACCGGGAAGCGCTGGTGGGGCTTATTTTGACAGGTCTGGAGCTTGGTATTTATAAGCATAATCCAAGTGAAATATGACTAAATGTTTTGTAGTCAATTTCTCCCATCAGATTTTTCCAGAAGTGGAAGCGGAATAATTTAATTTGATTATATATACATCCCCACCCACGGCTCTGGGACGAGTGTGAGCACCTTATTTTTAGCTTCACATACATTCTTGACATTAAAATCTCCTTGGCAAAATCCTCCTTCCCAGAATTATTCAGAGCTTAAATCTCTCTCATTTTTTTTTTTTTTTAGCCTATTGCTAGTGGAGTCATTAAAATGTTCAGTGTATTTTAATAGCATCCCATTCCTCATTATGGTGCCAACTCAAAGTCTGCACGTTTAAGGTCATGTTGGCATTTTTTTCCACAAACTCTCTTTTCAGTTCCATCAGACCTTAGGTAAAGTATCTCTTGAGGCAGAAATCAGACCTCTTAGTCATCGTCTCTTGGAGAATTATTCTCTGGATTTGAGGAGCCCGGATAATCTAGTTTTATGTCTACACAACGGTTTTGAAGGCTGCCTCCCTGTCTGTCCAGACAGCTAAACTTGAGCAACCCTGGAAGCTTCGAGCAGTTGAGAAATGCTTTTCAACATTTCACTTTAAATCAAGAGGTGCCACCGAAGACCCACAAAAATTGTTGCTAAAATGGTTGCCTGCACAGGAGCCAATTAACACAGCAAAATCTGGCGGGTGTCCTAGACGGCAAAACAGGAGGACCAGGTTCTCTTGACAGATGCTCTCAGTGTTTGTCAAGTCTGGTCTGCAAAGACAACACATGCCTTCCTCATCCATCGCTAGACTCTGAGAGTTAAGGAGAGGGGGGATCGAGGGGCTTCGTGCTCTACAGAAACTGTGAATATGATTTTGTGGGTGTTGTGATGCTGTCTGTCATTCCCAGAGACTGGAGATCGCTAAGATAATGGTTGCTGGATACACTGCCATTAAAATGAAACTTGCTTTATATTGATGTGGATTCTGGAATTCTCATTTCCATGTTTTTGCTGAGCTTGGAGAAACATGATTTAAACATTACGAGACCACTGGTAATTGCTAGTCTTATGACCTTGGGCAAATCATTTCTCGTCTCTGGGTATCAACCGTCTCATCTGTAAGACGGAGACAAAATCAGGCTGGAGCAGAGGATCTTGGTGGTTCCTTACAGACTCTGAGGTTGTATCCAGAGAGCAGGAGCTTCTGGAATCCTTTCCCCTGGGGACCAATGACTCAGTGACTCAGTGCTGAGTCATGTGCCCTTCAGAAGTGTGACTTCCCTATCCATCACTATGAACTCAGAGAAACATCATTTCCCAACAGGGAAATACAGTTTGAGCTCTTGGAAAAAATTAGCAGCTTAGTGCTGTGATGTCACTATTTATAGCTTCCGATGCCCAAGTGGGGTCAGAAAAGTCAGTAGGGTGGTTTACAAAATAAATGCGCTTATTTCCTGCGCCAAGATGTCAAAGAGGTCCATGGTTACCTAATCACATAGCTTCAGGGACAGGTGAAAATTTAGGATAACAAGAGGAGATGTGCTTAATATATTTAGCCACATTATTGAAAACGAGTATTTCCACTTTTCTGAACTAAGTTAAATATGAATGGTAAAACCTTCTCTGCTTGTAGGGTGTTTGTGGAACATAATTTAACTGAAATTTAATTTCACCAAGCAACATCTCCCATGGTTTTTCCTCCAGAAAATGGTTAGCACCTTTTTAATGACTTGCATCTGTGATTAATCATGAGAAAAATTTCCCTTTTAAACCAGACCAACGTGGAGCTCAAACTTTTGTCCCAGCTTCATTCAGACAACTCTGTTTACACATTATACAGAAATGACCTTGCCTCTTCCTGCTGCATTCATAGTGTCAATCACAAAAAGCCACAGGCCTGGGTCTGAGAGGAAACAAGAAAAAAAAAATATTTTTAGCTGGAAATAAAGTGATTCTGGTCTTCTGGAATTATTTTAGGTAAGCTACAGACCGCTGGCAACACCAAGTTTTTTTTTTTTTTCTTTCTTTCTGTCTTTCTTTCTTTCTTTCTTTTTTTTTACTGTGATTTGAATATACTTCATCTACAGGCACCAGTGTTCCCTGCAGCTTTTCAATTGCATTCAGTTGCAAGGAGACAGCCCTAACTGTTTAGGTGCCAACGTCCTTGGTTTTGGAAACATGAAAACCCTGTGTCTCATTTCTCTGCAATTGCATTTTAAAAATGCATTATCCATGAAGGTGATGGTCCAGTTAACATTTTAAAGTGCAATTCTGGCTGGACACAGGCAGAGGCAGCAGGATCCCTTGAGCTTAGACCAGCCTGAGCAAAAGTGAGATCCCCATCTCTACTTTAAAAATAGAAAAAGTTAGCCAGTGTGGTGGTGCACGCTTGTCGTCTCAGCTACTTGGGAGGCTGAGGCAAGAGGATCCCTTGAGCCCAGGAGTTTGAGGTTGCTGTGAGCTATGATGATGCCACTGCTCTCTAAGCCTGGGCAACAGAGCGAGATTTTGTCACTCACTCACCCAAACAGTCAATTAATAAATTGCAATTCCAGGCTTATAGAATGTTAAAGATGGGGTCTTGGATCATCTAGTCTCATGGTTTTTAGGCTGTTCAAGGACTCCCAAAGTGTTCCAAGAAAGTGAACAATATTCAGTATTAATATTCATGCACACAACAATAGCACATAAATCTAGAGGAAACTAAATCTAGTTATATAGTTTCAAGTTCCCTGAATTATCTTGCATGTAAAATGTGGATTAATTGTAGACATTGTTACACCAAAAATGCATGTTATAATTTTAGGGTAATTACTAAAAGAATAGAAGTGAAGAAGTATATATTATAACTTCCAAACTAAAAGAAAGAGAAAACTGAATGATAAAGTCACTCAGGTAATCCAAAATAAGGTAGTAAGAAAAGAGAGAAACAGGGACATAGAACAACTGGGACAAATAGAAAGTATATAGGAAAATGGCGAATTCTTTATCCAAATGTATCAATAATTATAATACGTGCAAAGAGATTAAATACTCAAGTTAATCATCAGAGAATTTTCATTAGACAGAATTTTTCTGAAAAAAACAATTATCTGTGTTTACAAAAGACATGCCTAAAACATGAGGATACAGAAAGTTTAAAACAAAAGAATGAAACACGATATTCCACGGAAACAATAGCTAAAAGAAAGCTAGTGAGGCTATCTTAATAAAGACTAAATAAACGGTAAGGCAAAAGTATTAGTAGAGTTAAACAGGGACACTTCATGATGATAAATGTTTTAGTTTAATAAGATGAAATAATAATTCTGAGTTTCTATGCATTTAAAAATATAGCATCAGCCGGGTGCGGTGGCTCACGCCTGTAATCTTAGCACTCTGGGAGACCGAGGCAGGAGGATTGCTCGAGGTCAGGAGTTCAAAAACAGCCTGAGCAAGAGCGAGACCCTGTCTCTACTAAAAACAGAAAGAAATTAATTGGCCAACTAATATATATAGAAAAAATTTAGCCGGGCATTGTGGCGCATGCCTATAGTCCCAACTACTTGGGAGGCTGAGGCAGGATCGCTTGAGCCCAGGAGTTTGAGGTTGCTGTGAGCTAGGCTGATGCCACGGCACTCACTCTAGCCTGGGCAACAAAGTGAGACTCTGTCTCAAAAAAAAAAAAAAAAAATATATATATATATATATAGCACCAAAATACATAATTTAAAAAGTTGTCATAACTATAAGACAAATAGAAAAGTCCACAACCATAATGGGGTATTTTCTCACACTTAATTTCAGTAATGAAAGTGGAAAAAAGTTATGAATGACCTGGATAATTTGAACAACATAAATAATGCAGGTAGAGTACTTTACCCTACCACCCAAGAGTAGACATTTTTTTGTAGGCACATAAAAAGAAGTTACAAAAGCTGACCATATGCCAGGCCATAAAACAAGCTTCAAAATTTTCACAATATTGAACTCATAGTTTTTCTGAGCACAATTCAATTATGCTAGAACTCAAGAGAAGGAAAATAACTAGAATATT